GAATTTTTCCAGAGATATTTGCATGTTTTTTTATTAGCACTGTGCTGCCGCAATATTCTTTACTGAAAATCTTGGTGTCTATAGGTTGGAAGGAAAGTCTTGTCACTGTTGTGACTTTTTTTTTTTATTTTCTAACTCAACATACAGTGGGAATTAGTCAACAATATACTCGTCATAGTTAGCCACTATGCTGCTTCACCTAATGGACAGGTAAGCATTCCCCTCTTCCAGAACTGAGGAGGCTGGGAGTCAAGTAAGTCGGCGGCCTCTCGACTGATGTCATCAAAGTTGCTGAAAGTTTTCTTAGCTAAGAAAGCCTTAAGGAGGCGGAGCAGGTAGCAGTCGTAGGGGACTACGTCAGGAGAATATGATGAGCGGGATCTGGTCTCCCAGCCTTGCTCCTCAATTATTTGGTAGGTCTCCATAGCAGGTATGGGGTCTCGCGTACTACGAACGAGGTGCCCCGAAGCTAGTCTCGGTCATTTTTCTCCAACAATTTCCACTCATTTCAGGAGCTGAGCGACACAAATGGTAGCGGTGACCGTCTGTTCTTACAAGGCAGCTCGTTCTGCAGCATCCCCCTCGCGTCCCAGGAGCAGCACAGGAGAACCTTCTTGGAATACATGTTCCGGTTTGGACTGCTAGAATGGATCTTTTCCTTGAGAGGGACACACGGTACTGTGTGGTTTGAAATTACAGAGGACCCATCTCTCAACTCCACTAGGCAGCCTCCTAGAAACTCCTTCTGACGAGAGAGGAGAAGGGGAGACTGACCAAGGGGTACCCGGGTGCGCAGCGTGCCATCGGTCAAGGTATGAGTGATCCATCGAGCCAGTACTTTTTGGTAGTCAAGGGCTTACAGGCGGGACGACTGTCAGTTAGGTACATCCGAGTCTTGTCGCAAGACTGCGGGTGGTAGCCTCTGGATCCTCCTTGACTGCTTCGAGAATGGTGGATTCTCGCACTCTGTGGGGCCGTCCCAACCAAGGTTTGTCTTCGAGGATCGTGTCTCCTTTCGCGAAGCGAGCGAACCAGAGGTGGACGGTCCTGATGGTAGTGGTGTCCTCCGCCAATGCACTGTTGATGTTGCGGACAGCTGCCGTGGCTCCAGTGCTGCGGGGCCACCGATACATGATGATGACCCGAAGATGCTCCTGTGAAACTGACATCGTAATTAGACCCAGGAAAGAGCAGGCGCCCTCACACACCTCTTGCAGGAAAGCTCCTAGAATGTTCTACAAGCATGGCATGTTACCTCATGTTCAAGCATCGAGAATCAAAAACTGTAAGCTTTTCAAAAAAACACTGACAGGACCTAATACAAGCACGCTGAGTTGTGGGCAAAAGTCTCGCACAGGGGGAGTCGAACCCGCAACTCACGCTTTCCGGGCTAGTATCGTACGCTAACCGGCGGCGTTTTACGCCTCCAGACTTAACGGCTTGTGCCACGTAACCGACTCACAAGCACTCACACGTGTAACTTACGTGAGCGCGTCAGCCGAATGACGTTAGATATCGCGCACTGAGAACACAAAAAAACAAACCAAAAAAAAAACAAAACAAAAAAAAAGAAAAAACCAAAAAAAGGAAAAAAAACAAAAACGCCAAAAATAAAAAAAAAATCAACACAGCACACCGGCGCGAGGCTTTACCAACGCTTTTGGAAGCTGTTTTGTTATGACGTAATGCTGTTAACGCCGCAGTACGCGTTCCGAAATCTTATCACACAAGAATCACTGAGTTAGCGTTAACATCTATTATATAACAAAACAAGTTTCAAAAACTTGTAAGCCTTTCGCCGGTTCCATGCGATTATCTAACGATTACGGCTGACCGACTCACCAAGTTAAACGTGTGAGTGCTGTAAGGTTACGGCATACCGTTAAGCTGAGAGGGTAAAAGCGGCCCTGGTGGCGTAACGGATAGCGCACTCGCCCGGAAAGCGATGCATTGGCAGTTCGACTCCCGCCTGGCGGGCACACGACTTTTGCGCACAACACGTCGTGGGTTACAGTTCGTGGGCTTTCAGATACAGTTATTCGGATTCGAAAAAAACGGAAAATAGGTGTGTGAACAATGAAAAAAGGAGGGTATAAACAGTGGAGAACATCTAGAATAGGGTCCCAATAGTGGACGTATTCGAAAAAGCGAGAAACTGCTGCGTGAGTGAGAGACCAGAAAAAAAGTAAAGAGAACAATAAGGCGCGTTGAAAGATGAGGAGTATGACGGGGTGGCTCTGCACGGAATGAACGCAGCGCATTACACTTGCAGTTACACGACTGGTGGCATATACCGTTCCCAAATGGGTTTCACATCTTCTGGGAGTGACATCCCTTCGAAGGCCACAGCGCACTTGTCACTTATCTAAGAGCCACAGAAGTGGGACAGGTTCTGAGATTGTGGAGCAGGCCACTTGTACCTCTATCTACCTTGGTTTTCCTATCAGGTAACCACGGAATGTGGGCATAAGTCCCAGGTAGCCGTCGTACGGATCTGCCCTTTTCCTAATTAACCTAAATAACGAAGCTCCTAATGTTACATGGTAAAACAAGCTACCCATGGATTGGTTTTGGATTTTATAGGTCGAGTTGATACATAAAAGGCTAGCACAATACTCGTTTATGATATTTCATTGTCGCGGAGAGATGCAGCAACATCCTGATGCGCCAATATGCCCGCTTCTGGTAGTACATGCTGTGCTAAATCTCTGCCTCGTCTCAGACTTTGACGAATAGAGTTAGCCGCGCTTCCACCCAACCACCTTCGTAGACACGCCCTCTCCAAAAGCTCTGAGCTCTGCTGTAAAAGTCGTCAGTCATAGTCCCAGAAGAATTTATTTGTGATCATTTCGGAAGCTTCACTTTCAGGAGTGAAAGCATCTATGAGAAGGGTATTGAAAGAGACGGCTACTTGAAGCATCTATGAGAAGGTATTGAAACGAAGGGCTATGGAAGAGGAACGGGAAACTCCACCGTCAACATCGTCTGCCGTATGTGAACTCCCCCTTGCTGCTAAACCGCTAGAAGAAACTGCTTTGGGAGATGAATCCAGCGTGACCGCTGACGATGTGGAGATATCTGGTGGGTTCTTCCTTCAGAATTCAGTTCCCATTAGTGGGTTTGAAAAATCTGAATTTCTTCAGTTCACGTTTAGTTTGCTCAGGTATTGCCTTTTCAGAACAAAACAATATTGATCGAGGATATTTTGTCGAAGGTGATGTTTATCTGGACGACTACGTTATGGGAAAAACAACTGACTTACCGGATGATGAACTTACTATGTGCGTTATAAGCAAGCCTGAAAGTGTTGGTGAAACATTCAGCCCACATGTGGTCCCTTGAGGGCGATTCCGTGCTGGTCGTCTGGGCGGAGCCGGGCCTCCAGTTGTGGCGTATATATCGTTACTTCTAAATCGTGGCGTGGCACGTTCTGGCAGAGCAATTTATAGCTAGCTAACGTAAGATACAGGTAGATAGTGGATTTCAGCTATGTTGCATGGTTTGGGTCCTGCGCGAATGCTGCCCACATCTCCCCCGTTCA